AAGAGCTCTTTAGAAATGGCATAATCTTTTCTAACAAATACATGGAGGCAAAAGCCATACTGGAGTGGCTTAAGAATAAAGTAGGAAGTAAAAAAACTGAATCAGAAATTACACACAATTCTTATGCTCTCCCCCCAACCCTAAGTTTGGTCAGGCTTTCCGACCACTAAAGACCTCATCTATCTCTGCTTCTCCCTGCATTTCCCCCTGTAGGCCCTACTTGGGCCCTACAGAGGCCAAGGAGGGAAAAGGCCCAGGAATCACATGTTACCCCACCCTCCGCCTGTGGTTCATGTCCTGATTTTCTGATTTGCAGACTCTGTTCTTCCCAAGGGATTTTGAGCCCAGCTGTTTTTCTCCACACTATCTGTCATCCTGGAGATCCCAGATGGTGCCCTAATGACGAGCTGCCCATTTGGGAGCCCCTCCTAGGACTCCCAGAGCTTGTGATGCCACCTTACTGAATCACTCCTTCAGCACGGGGCACCATGCTTATTACACACAATCATTCCTCCCTAGCCACAGTAGGCTGGATTAGGATGGGGTGCTGAGCCAAAGAGCAATTGTCTCCATGTAGCCTGGTCCCAAAGCTCTGGGGACCAATGACACTCAAAGAGCTGCTGATGGTAGAAGACACACCAGTGGAGATGCTCAGAGAAAAGGCAATATGCAGGAACTGGGAGGGAGGAGAAACCCTAAATCAGCCACAAAGAGAATGGGGAGAAGTCAGGCAGTTGCTGGTAGCAAGACACGAATCACCACCACAGCCTCTAGGGGTATATTAGATGTTCCATGACCCTCTGCATTTCAAAGACATGGCTGTGGAGTTTCTTGTCTTTCCTAATAGCCCCTGAATCTCTATTACCTGCCTCTCCCTCAGGGTATTCCACATCACTCTGGGCAACCTACCTTTGACAGCCAAGGATGATGCAGTGTTCGGAGTTTTGATCACCGCTTGCTGGCCCTGGTCCCCTCATCCCTGCTCTAACACCTTATTGAGGCCTGAAGTACCCCAACTCCATCTTCCCCAACATCTCAACCCCTCCTGCCCACACTCAGCCAAACATCACCTCAACACTCAAATTGCTTAGCCCATCCTGCTACAACGTGAGCTTAGAAGAGCCCTAATTTTGTGCTTTCCTGGTGACTAGACACCCAGGCTGCTGGACACATTGAAGAAGACCTCAAAATTCAGTGGGAAGACTTATCAGGGGAATCACTTCATAAGTTATATATAAATGTCCACCCACTATGCTATACACCTAAAACAGTATATTGAACATTAACTATAATTGAAGAAAAACCCAGTGGGAGCCTCATTTGGCTCAACTTTTCAGTCTACCACTGCCTACAGTCCTGCTCTGATACCTGCAGCTCCCTAGCTATCATTGCAATCTTTACCTCTCTCCTTATGAGCCTGACCTGACTGTGACAAACCGAAGAGACGAAGGCCATGGTGAGACAGAAGAGCACCAAGAGGTAAAAAGGCAAGGATGAGACCTGGATGAGAGAGATGGGATTGAGGTGTTTTCTTTTTTTTAAAGATTTCACTTATTTTGGGAGGGAAACATGATGTGTTATGTGAAACATTGATATGCCCCAACCAGATATGTGCCCCAATCAGGAATAGAGACCTTTAGGTTTCCAGGCCAACCCACTGAGCCACACCAGCTAGGGCTGAGATATGTTTTTAAGATAAGAAAAAGCATGTTCGTAAGCTGAAGTCATTAATAATTAGGCAATTAATATGTACATAGCACTACATGCCCAGGTAGTATCTAAGAGTTATATGTCTGCATTTCTACCTTCAATCCTCATTAAAAACTCTGAGGTAAGCACTATATCCTGTTTTATGGATGAGATCACTAAGGCACAAAGCAGTGACTTGCTAATAAGCTAGAGGCAGAACCAAGATTCAAATCCAGACAGTCTGGTGTCTGAGACTATAATCATAAACACTGTATCTGCCAAAGACAGGAAAATGACTGACCTGGCAGAGTCCCTAAACCAGCCCAAAGCACATGGTAGACCACCCAAAGGTCTAGATATAGTCAGGTTACGGCTTGAGGCTTATTAATGATTCTAGATCCTCCCAGCACAAGCCTGAGCCTACTATTCCTGTCTCCAGCCTGTGGGTTCCTGGAGGACAAGGAGGACAGACTCCTACCCTCTTAGTCCCACCTCCACACAAGACCAAGCAGAGAGAGGCTCATCAGATAAACCAGCAGAACTTTTATTTCCTAACCCACTCCCTGGACCTCTGTCAGAAGGCAGATCAGAGGCACTGCAGATAGAAGGCAGAGTAAGCCCTTCTTAAGCAATCCAGAACACAGGCTGAGACCCCTTTCAATATGCCAGAGGGAAGGGGAATCAGAACAAGAAGGCCTACTTCTGTGGATTCAAGTCTTGTTGGGGATGTTGCGCAGTAACAGAGGCTTCCCAGAGAAGGCACAGCCATTCAGATATTCAGGCCTGGATAGCAGCTTGCTCAGCAGATCCTCAGGACCGGGTATCTCGTGCCCTTCTTCGGGGTCGGGGGCCACAGCTAGAGCCAGGTGTGGGGCCCAGGCCAGGGGGTGCCCCTGGAGGCTGGTAGCCACACTCATTGGGGTCCAGGGGGTCCCGGCTGAGCAGCACCCACACTGCAGGCACATGTCTGCGCACTGTGAGGGGATCTAGGCCTGTGTCCGGTGAGGTTGGTACCCAGCTGTCCTCAGTCTGTAGGAAGCGCAGCTTGGTAAGCTGGTGCAGGCCTGGTACCCGCCGTTTGACAATCTCAGCACAGCTGACAGCCTTCCCTGCAGCCCGGCCAGAACCTGAGAACACCACATGTCTTGCGCTGCCACCCTCCAGGCGACCCAACGCCAGCCCCAGCAAGTTGCGGATTTTGCTGCCATCTCGGACCCGCATCTCCAGGGTATCAGGAGGTAGCTGGGGCATTGGGGAAGGTGCTGGGAGTTCCACAGAGCCAGCTTTCCGGTAGTGCTCCATCCTGCTAGCTGTTGGTTCCAGGAATCTTGCTGCCCCACTGCAGGGAAATGTCAGAAGAATGCTCAGCAACCTGCCCTAGGCCATCCTGCCACTCTGGCTCTCCAGGACAAAGCCCTGCTCCTCAGGCCAGATTTACCGAGAACAAGACCATAACCCGTCACTCCCAGCTTCTGCCTGGGGTTATGCCTGCCTCACTTTGGGAAGGTCTGTACCCATAAACCCCCATTACCTCGGACAGGGCCATAACCTTCCCTCCACCCAAGACGGAGACAGAGCCAAATTCTGCAAACCCTGGGCCCTTTAAGATAGGCCCAAAACCCCTCGCAGGGGGGGAATCCTAAATTCCCTAGGATTGGCACCAAGCCACCCTCATCTTGGGGACAGGGCCCTCCTCCCTCCAGACTCCCTGAGAACAAGACTGAGGGGTGCTCACTCCAGGCTTACCAATGACAGGGACAAGGCTCCCTCACCTCGTGCTTCCACAGGACAGGGCTAAGCCTCTACGCCCTAAGCTCCCCAATGCATGAGACCAGAGCCCTCATCTAAATGCTCCTCAAACAGAGCTGACCCCTCCCTCGCTCCGAAATCCCCAAAACAGGGTCGGGCACCCCCCACTCTGAGAGAGTCCCAGGATCATGCCCCACAACCCAGGTCACTTGAGAAACTCAGAGCACAGGCTTGATGCGGAGGGTTGCTTGGGCTACTCCTGACCTCGGGCCCGCCGGCCTCAGCCACCTCCACAGCCCGCGGCCCCTCCCCCAGTGCCCCTCCCTGCACGGCCAAGGAGTTGTCCTTTCCTGCCCTCCCGCCCTCCTACTCCCACACCCCACACACACACACCAGGCGCCCCACAACTCCACTAAGGCTCCAACTCTCACCTCCACGTGTGCGATAGCCTCAAGCTCCTGCCGGAGCCAAAATGGCGCGCAAGACTGGAGCGCGCCGGGATTCAGCGCGTACGCCGGGTGGGAGGGGCGGGCACGGGGGCGGGGCCTGGGGGCGGGACCTGGGGCGGGCACAGGGGCGGGGCCTGGGGGCGGGAGCCGCAGGGCTTCCGCGGAAGAACTGAGACTAGGAAGAGAAACACACTCTCGGTCTGTGCTGTGCCTCCCTCCGGGAGGGGCACTCTTATTGGGGTGGAGAGAATCCTGTGGAGGAGAGGAGCGGCCATCTGAGGAGTCCCACATCCGAAGGATGGGAAGGATTTGGCTCTTAGAAGGTGGCAGTGATGGCATTACCAGTTGAGCGCACTGCGATAGCAAAGGTGAAGCTGCGGGTTTCACTTTGGACAAGGACAAGAGGTTGCATTTGGAGTTGGCTGCTGCTGCGCGGGCAAGGACCTTGGTCACCGAGTTCTGAACTTTGACCTCATTCAGTAGGCACTAGTGGGCCAAGGGGGGGTTTCATCAGGGGTCAGTCAAAATAGTTTATATGCACGGCTCACTCTGGCTGCAGTGAAGCAGGGGGTGGGATGGGGAAATCGGGCCACAATCTCTGGTGACTCCTAGCCGCTGCTACACCTCCTAGGCAGAGGTGTAGCCACAGAGACCCATTAGGTGCCCAGCGTATAATAGGCACTCAAATATTTGTTGAATGATTTGTTGAAAGAATGAACCAGAGAAATGGCAGTGGGAATGGAGAAATGTAGATTAACTTGGGAGATATTATAAGGTAGGTGAGGTAAGGAGCTGGTGACTGTTTGGACAGAGGAGAGAAGAGTCTAGGATGACAACCAATTTCAGGCTTAATTCACAGAATTTTAGATGCCTGTGAGACCGTGGGGGTTGGGTGATGGGGCCAGAAATTGAAAGGGAGTCTGGAGACCCGGCACTCCCTGAGACCACAAGGGGGCAGCAAATATTTAGTGGAATGAGGTGGCAATCTGAAGTCCGCTCTTATCAGGCTTCCTCCTTCTGATTCCCCAAGGAGTCCCCCCACCTCGCTCCACCCTCACTCCACCTCTATCCTCACCTCCCTCCCCATCCTAGACCAAGAAGCAGGCACACTCCTTCAGTGATCTCTATAGTTTATTGTCACTGAAGTAGGACACTGATGAGTGCAAAGGGGAAATCTCATATAGCCAGACCTGTGACCTCAGGGCCCCCCCTGAGTGCGGACAGGTAAGCTGTGCATCCAATAAATACAGATCTGCCTCTGCCCTGCTACAAGGGCAGGTTGGCACAGGGCCCCAGAGCCTGGATGCTCTGGCTCACCCTGGGATGAGAAGCAGCCATCACTCCTCTGCTGGTTTCACTTGCTTGGCGGCTTCCAGCTGACAAAGTAGCTCATCCCACTGTACAAACTGCTTGGAGAGAAGCAATGTCTAGTTGCAGGTCAAGGTGAAAACAGGAGTCTGAGTGAGGTAGTGCAAACATTTTACATCTGCCAAAAGGGTGGGGGAACAAGGAAACGGGCTGGTTGGGATGGGATGAGACTGCAGAACTAAAGATAAAACAAAAACACAGGGTTTCAGACAGCATTCCTCAGGGGCCTGGCTGAGCAGAAAGGATACAGTTTTGTTGTATTCCTCCAGGAGGGCCTTGGACTCCTCAGTGATCTCCACACACTGGTCCTATGGGGTGTAAAAGAAGTCAGACAAAGCCCCCACTTGCCACTAACCTTCCTGCCTCATCAGGGCCCTCACCCCGCACAAAGCCTAGTTAAGGTGATGTTAACCCCAGCGCTAAAAGAAACAAATTTCTGAAAGGGTACTTTGAGGCTCCAAGATGGGCACACTAACAGCAGTCTTAACACTGATAGAAGGAGTAGTGGACCACACGTTTAAGGAAACATTACTGCTAATATGTCTCCTCCCTGTCACTATTTCTGAACCCTTTTTGAATTTACAGTAGATCTTGGGAATAGTAAAAAAAAATCAAAACAGCTCCTCCACCCACAATCAAGGACACACTATTCCCAGGAATTCTTGGATACCTCCGAACATCACCCTTTGGTGTCTCAGAGTAGCCCTACTCTGGGAGGCAGGAGATCTGGTTGTGGCTCTAGGTAAGTCCCTTCCCTCTCTAAGGCAGATGGAAGATAAAGCATAAACCCCCAAGTTTCCCCTGGAGCTGATATCAGAGGAGCCTGAGGCTATTCCCCAAGCAGCAGGGGTGGGGGCTAGGAGCCTCACCACCTCCACTTCCAGTCCTCTCCCCTCCCATACCTGCTGCTGGATGTGGACCTGGGCCAAGCGCTGCAGGCAGGCAGCATGCTCAGGAACGGCTGCAAAACACAACGCACACTGCCCGATGATGCTTGTGCCCTCCCCCGGGACTGCTCAATAGTCTATTAGGTCTTTGGCAGGATTAGAGTATTGAGTGGAGAAACTAAACAAACGCCAGGCTTCATTGACCGCTGCAGCTAGAGGTGGTGGTAGGGCTCCCTGCTCACCCCAGTCTTCCTCTAGGACCCAAAAAGGAGGGGAAGATACAGGCCCCTAGAAGACAAAAACTTGGGGTCCCCAAGGTTTGACCCATACCCCTACTCCAGTACTGTAAGTAGGAAAAGGTAAAAAGAGCTTTGCCTATCACAGGATCTGTCCCTTTGTACTTGGCCCAGTGGGACCAGGTCTGTCTCCTAGGGAACAGGGAGCCTGCAGGTAGGCTGAGGATAAATCCCAGGACCCTAAGCTGGCCACCTGCAATCCAACACCTGCTAGGCCCAAAGCTTAAGGCTGTCAGATGCTTAGCAGGTAGCTGATTGGGAGTAGGGAGGGGGAGCTTGGAAAAATACCTCCAGAGACAGACAAGATGGATATCTGAATTCAATTCAAGTCACTGTCTGCTTGTCAAAACCCAAGCATAGAGACTGCTCTTAGCAGCGTGGCAGGTAGAATTCACATATACTCACATACCTGGCAAAGACTCTTATGGTAAGATCTGGGCTCTGCAGCACCCTGAGGACAGTTGCTGAGAGGTGGGGTAAAAGGCAGAAGGAATCTCCAGAGGTGGGGCTGTTGGGATTATACTACTATCCTTAGGCCCAAATTATCTGGGGTTCTGAAACTAAGCTCTCTGCCCTGGCAATTTTAGTCCCAATGCAGGGGGCAGGTACCCCCTAGGGTAGAGGTAAAGACAAGGAGCAGAACTAGCAAGAGCCCAGGGAACCTGAGGTACAAGGAAGTCCTTCCCATCCACCCACCTCTCAGGCAGAGTAGTGGAGAGGTACCTTTGATATGAGCACTGTCCAGCAAGGGCACCAAAGCCTCCACCTGCTCCAGGAGTGCAATCTGGGAGAGGATAAACTGCTCCTCTGAAGTATAAACAGACAGGGTGGTTTCAGTGAGGGGAGCCTAGGCACTGCTACTCCAATGCAAGAGGCTGAGAACATGGTAGGGGAGATGGCTGCGTCCTGGAACTTGGGGCAGCTATTCTGCCCACTGGCCCCTTCTCTAAGGGCGCATTCCCCCTATTCTGCACCCTACCTCTTCTGAATGCCTCTGGCCAGACCCATCTTGAGCCTAAGGAGCCTCTAAGTTTCTCCAAATCCCACCTTCCTCCAAATTTTAACTCTAAGGCCTCTTCCTCTAGCCTCCTAGCTACAAATTCAATGAGCATCTCCTGGGCCACAGGAGACAAATAAATTCAGACTTAGGTTCCCACAACCAAGGGCTCCTGGGAACAGAAGAAGGTCTGAACGAAGAGACAAGGCAGACTGCCAGGAAGGTTCTACTCAGCAGCTCTGGAGAACTGGGACAGTAAGGAAAGAGTCCAATAAGGAGAGTGTGGCCCTGCACAGGGGATTTCAATGGTTGCAAAGAAAGGGAAGAGAACTAAAGAAGGGAGGACTGTTATGTCAGGTGTTTGGAGGCAAGAATACTTGTTAATTAGTAGAGGAAAAAGAATTCAATTTGCCAAACTGGAGCAGGGAGAGCACAGGAAACTGAGCTGTGTGGGACGGTACATTCGGCAGACTGTAGAAGGCTTTGTATGGCAGGCTAAGGATTTAGAACTTTATCCTAGCAAGAAGAGAGAGAGACACACACACTGAGGTTCCAAAGTAGACAAAGTGGCATGTTGAAAATGTGTTTTGGAGAGATGACACTGGACCACATGCAAGATGAGTAAGACCAGGGTCAAGAAGAGGACTTAGGAGACTGCAACAGTTCATGTGCGAGGGGATGGACACTGAGGCAGTAGCTACAGGGAGGAATGGAGAGGCTGGACTCGAGTCAGTCCTGGAGAAGATCTGAACTTGATGCTTGAGCCATAGCAATGGCTCAGGGACAGTCTGGTTCACCAGGGTATACCTCATACCTAGGATAGTCAGATTACAGTAAATGATCATTAAACATCTTTTCAATGCATGGACAAACACAGGTGCTTGGCAAACCCTACCTCATGGAGTAGTTGACTAATGAGCAGACATCAACTAGACCTGTGAAATCCCAGAGCTTTCTCACATGGAAAAAAGATGTTGAAACTCACGCCAATGTTCTCCTCTCCTAAATACTGTCTGCTCCCACCCTTTCCTAGAAACTCCTCAGTCTAGTGAGCAGAAGTGAAGAAGGTTCTAAAGGAAAATCCTACAGGCAGGCCATTTATACAACATTGGAACATCTTCCACTGTGGCTAGCACCATGGACTACAGCTGGCTCGGAATCATACCACAACCAATGCCTACTAGAGAACCATGGGATGACCTCTGGCCTCAGCCCAGATGAAAGCCGGAATTCCAGACATCAGTTTTCAGGACTTTATCCATTAGGACTGGCAGGAAGGCCATCTCTATGCCAAAATTCCCCCACAATCCATATCCCCAGATGCATGTGCACACCTGCTAAGATGAACTGCAGCTTAGAGGCATCAGGTATGGCAATGCGGTCAATGTACTCAGGATCCAGGTATTTGATCAGGTCTTCAACTAGAAAAGTAGGAAGATGGAAAATGGAATAGGGGTGAATAACAGGGATCTGTTTTATGAAAAATATTGGGGGAATGGTCCACCTTGGGGAGAGCCTTGAGTGAGGAGCTGACAGCCACAGTGTCTATTAGCAGGCCTTTACCAGGACCCCTTTCCCCACTTCCCTGTCTCTCCCCTCTGTTCACCTGCTGGTTGACCTCAAACTTTAGAGCTGGAAGCATACTTGCCTCCACCACCCTGGGGCCCTCAGTATCCCCACTGATCTATGTTCACCAAGGGTGGAAGGCCCCGTGCCCCTCGGTGCCACCAAGAAAATCCAGAGCTTTATCTGATTTCTAGTTACTAAGCAGGTTGCTAGCTCTGATCCAATAAAAAAGGCATGGCTGAGCCAAGGCCAGGGCTCTCAGTGCCTAACTAAATTCCTGCCTCCGAGCCCTGCCTGTGGAAATCCCATACCCCTTCTCCCTCCTTCACCAAAGGGATCTTTCAGACAGAGCTCTTATCCCATAACTTAGGTCACTCTCATGGGCTTGAAGTCTAACCACAGAATAGAACACACACCCCAATTCACCATTTCAGCAGGGAAGTATCTTCACATTCTACATCCCCAAAGGGCAACTCCAGTGACCCGGTGGGTGAAGGTCTCAGGAAGCACAGGCATTGAAAAGAAGACAGGCAGGCACCCCATACAAACACTTACTCTTTTTGTAGAGAATCTTTACCCTCTCTCTCTTGCTGGCGATGTTCCCCAAAGCTAACTGCACCTTGAGCAGGCCATCAGCCACCTGCAAGGGGAGTAAACGTTATTTCCAAGATTCACCACTTGCTTCAAGGATTTTAGGGGGTAAAGAATCCTCATTTCCTCTGGTTCCCAAACCCTTTTGCCCCAGAAATCTAGGTTGGTCGCTTTCTCTTATATTAAAGGAGATGTAACCCCACCTTCTGTGAATCCTCAGTGGAAAGAGGGAGATAATCATGTCCTCCTTGGGGAGTCTCAAGTCTGGGGAAGGTAATGAACTATTTTAGAGTTTATGGGGCTCTACCATATACTATACATTTCCTGGTTCCTACCTCTCTGACTGAACCTACCTAGGCTTTAAGGAGAGAGGATGAAGAATTACAACATCAAAGGGTTAAATAGATGGAGAAGCAATGGAAGTGAATGATCTCACCCAGGTTTTAGGATAGAGGGTGAGAAATGCCAAAATTCAAGGGTCAAAAATCAGCCACCAGAGAGGCAGGAGGAAAACCAGAAGGTTAGTGTCACATATGTCAAAGGGAGAGAATGCTTTAAGAAGTCAGTTTCAAATGGGGCACAAACTGCTGGTGACAACCAATTCCACAAACGTGTATGTGTACAAACAGACATCATTACCTCCGATGCACTTAATTCCAAGGCATTCCTGACACTCCGCCTTCGGTGAAAGGTCTTCCCATAGCAAAAATGGCAACTGATCACCGGAGTTGTCAAAATTCAGTAACTAGTGTGAAGGAGTGCTGGTCCATATTAGAACATCCAGTATCCTGATCTTGGGCCTCTCAGACCTTACCTCTCATTGCCCAGGGACTTCTTTAAGCACCCCTGCTCTGCCTCCTCTAAGTCCCACGGACCTCTTTCTGCACAATTCATTTAGCAGCTAATTACATAGGGCTCCGTGGCAGCCCTCCATTGTGAACTTCAGCTTTTACTGGAACTCTCACTAGTCAGCTTCCCAGGGTCTCCTCTGGGGAAGTCTCCCCAACTGGCCGGAAAGGATAGCGGCTGAGTCTTAGTCACAGTTCACACTGAGCTCATTTCAAGCGGGCTATATCACATGCAGTTCTTTACATGGCTATGGATCCCGAGTCCAATGTGCTCCGAAGGTCTCGGACCATTGTTATTTCAAAGGCCGGACTGCGGGTGCTGGGAATGGAAAGTCATCCACCCCGAGGCTCACGCCGGTAGACCGCCCTTGCTCTGCCCCAGAAAGAGACCACTGGACCCCACGTTCGCTCACCTTCCGCGAGCCGCGCGACCCGCCCGGTCCGTACACCCAGCGTTCCAGCTCCTCCACCCGGGCCTGTAGCCGCTGCACGTCGGTCACAGCCGCCATAGCTACCGCCCCGCCTCAGTTGGGGAATAGCCAGGGGCGGGACGTCCGTCCAAATAAAGAAGTATGGCCAATCCGAGTGCACGGGCGCCCCGCAATACAGGAAGTGACACCACGACTGAAGCCATTAGTGCCGGAAGCGACCAGCTGAGCCCAGGAGAGGAGTCCAAAGCTGTCTGGTTACCTAGGCAACGGCTCTCAGGCTCTACCCTATCCCAGCTCCTGCTCGTCAAGTCAACCTTTGCGTTTCTTCTTCTAATTTTAGGATACCAAAGAGGTTTCCCCACTTCATTCCCCAAAGCTGTGCATATAAATACACCCATTAATCCAAGATCGGTCCATTCCCATAGATCAATAGGAGTCCCTGTGAAATACCATAATCTTTCATAGTCTAATAAGGTTCACGCGATTAAGTGTCTTATCGAGGAAATCTCACTACTATAGTGGCAGAATCAGAATTTGAACTCGGGCAGTCTGATTCATGAAACCAAACTCTTCTACTCCCACGGACCTTTGCTATTCTGTCTTCCCTATAAGAACTGCTTAATGCAGCCTGTGTATGCTACCACTCTTTCCCACTCCCAGATCCAAACAAGTAAAAGAGGCACTGGAGAGGGAGGAAATGCAGCTTTATTATCCAAATGTGACCTGACCTGAAGAACACCTCCTTCACAAGACCCCAACCCAACCCTTCATCTGGCTCCTGAAGAGAAGAAGCAGGTCTGACTTCAGAGGTAGGGTCCTAGAGATGACATCGACACGGGTGTCACTGGAGGCAGGGCTCCTTGGTAGATGCTGGAGTTGGTCAGAGAGGAGGTGCCCTCCCTTTACAATGAGGTAGATGTAACATCAAAAGAAAACTCTTTGGCTTCAAGTCCACATGAGGGGTGTAGTGGTCACCTCCCAAGGTTGGGTCCTAGGGTGGGCCCCCTGGAAGAATCAAGGTGGAGGGGGTGTCTCCCGCCCCTCCCCCCAGTAGTGGGCTGGGACTCTTAATTCCAAGTGAGAGCTCTCAGGGTGAGGTGCTGGAAGGGGGTCCTGTAGGGGTTGGGGGTGCAGGGTTAGTTGGGCCCTGGGAAGCTGGCACGGGCTGACGGCGGGCAAAGAGGATGCCTGACAAAGGGGTGAGGAGATGATAAAGGGTGAATACAAGCAGGAGGAGACAGGGCAGGGAAACAGAAGGAAACAGAAGTTAGTGACCTGATTGCTAGAACACCATACACATACCTCTGCCACAAATCAATGAGGACCAAACCCTTTGGTCAGTTAGAGACTCCTCTGCCAATATAGATACCCTCAAACAAGTAGACAATAAATATTTACACTGATACACAGACCATGGACGAAGTTGACATCCCATGGTACCCATGCTTGAGAGGTCATGCCTTGGACCCCATGCCATGTAGACAGCCCCTCCAACCCAGTGGAGTGATCCCCTGAACCTCATATTACCCATGCAAGTTTGGATATCTCTGAATCTCATGCTAGTAGAAAAAGTCGAAAGTCCCCATGCCAATGTAAATACCCCTGACCTCATGCCAGTGTAGACAGTCTGCGGTACCCATACCAGTGTAGACCACCCCGTTGATCTCTAGTGCCATGTTGATACTGCTGATACCACTGCCTGCCAGATTGAGAGGCCCATCCAGCCGCTCTTCTGTCCAGGAGGGGGCAGGGGAGTCACATTTTTGAGAATCGGACCACAGACTTATGAGCTCCCCCTCCATCTCTATAGTCATCCTCCACCTCATTCTACTGCCACCCCACAGGGTAATCACACGGTTGTCTGTTGAGGGGTCCATTTGCCCCGCTGCCCCACTTATTAGGTGATGGATCTGTCCTCCCACAGTACACAAGCCCAAAGACCTATCAGCAACAAGCCTCTCCTCACCCCTTAGGGGAACTTTGCCATGGGGCGGGAAACTGTGGTGTGCGCCAGGTCGAGGTGGCTCCATGGGCCCCATCAGCACAGCCCTCTTCTCTGGAGGCTCCTCTGGTGCCAATTTCTCCCACGCGGGTCCCAAGGCCAGACCCGCAGGCAGTGCCAGTCGAGGGGTTGGAATTCCACTCTCCTCTGGAAGAACAAACAGGTCATTCAGCTCCCCTGGCCCAACCAACTCAATCTTTGCATTTGGTTCTCCCTCCTGGCCTGGGACCAAAGGAGATGGGTCACCCAAGCTCAAGCACCAAGTTCAATCTCCACTCCCATCCAAAGTCTCAGCCTATAGCCTCTGAACTGGAGAACCCAAAAGACCAATATTACGTCTAGGTTGGTCCCAATCAATTTAGAGGATTTCCTTGTTCTCCGTTGTTAAGTAAACCAGATCACAGGAGGCACAGACCACATGCAGATAAGAACCATGGGTGGACAGGTGTGGAATGGAATGGCTTTTGGATAAAGGACCTTCAGCCCCGTGCCACAGTAACCCTTACTCCAGAGCTTCCAAGGCTTCACTGACACCAAATTTCGGGAGCCCTAAACTTTAGGGTGCATTAAATCTCAGCGCCTCATCAGTCCCTACTTACTGCCCCATACCTCAATGCCTCCCGCATTTCAGAGTCCCCATATTTTAATGTTCCCTGTGTCTCAGCGTAGCCCTAGGTCTCAGCGACCTCCCAACCTCAGCTCCTTCCCCTTCACACCTTTCTTAATCGGGCTCGAGCTCAGCTGCGCGCAGGCGTGCGCCGGCAGACCGGACGCGGAGCCCTGGGCTGGGCGGGCGCCCGGAGTGGGCGCGAGCAGGGCGGAGCCAGGACCCGAGGTGGGGCCGGGGGTGCTCCGAGGGGGCGGGCGGCCCAAGCCGAAGACCGGAGCGGTGGTGTAAGCCTGGCGACGGCCCTCACGGCGGTTGCTGTCGATAGCGGCCTGGAGCTCCCCGGGGGAGCTGAGCGCCCGCGTCTCGCACTCGTATGGGTACAGGTACTTCATGTACCTAGAGGCAGACGGGATCTGTGCGCGGGGGAAGCTGGGCCCCGCTGATCAAGGCTCACACCAGGGGCCCGCCTCGCCCCGTGGCCCCGCCACTCGTGCCTTGCCCCCTCCCATCCCTCCCTCTCCTCCCAGCTCCCACTGCCTAGGGCCCGCGCGCCTGGCCTCACTGAGTGCGTAGAGTGAAGGCGGCCGACGTGATGGTGGTGGGCAGGCTGAGACCGCGCGTGACCTCCCGCCACACCTTGCGGTTGATGACTTCCACCAGGCCGCCTTTGGCTGTCACCAGGCGAAACAGCGCGTACAGGTCCAGCACCTGCTTCGCCATAATGGGCACGCGGTTCACTGGTGTCCCTGGTGGGGGTTGGGCAGAAGGTCAGGATGGAAGACTAAGACCCAGACGACTGAAAAAGTCAGCTGCCTGGACGAGACCTGGAGATAGGGAGGGACCGGGGAAAGGAGGAGAAGAGGGAGGGGTGGGGAGGTGGTGGTATGCCAGGCAGAGCCCACAGCGCCCAAGGAAGGACAGGAGGCTAGACTAGGTGTAGGCAAACTTCTGTAAAGCGCCAGAAGTTAAATGTTTTAGGCTTTACAGTCCAAAGGGTCCCTTCTGAACTCCACTCTGCCACTGTAGCCTGAAAGCAGCTGTGCAGCTGTGTTCCAATAAAACTTTATTTACAGACGCTGAAATTCGAATTACACACGTCTGGAATGTAATTTGTCTTTTAGTTTTTTTACATTATTTAAAAACACAATAACCATTCTTAACTCGCAAGCGGCTAGATTTGGTTTGCAAGCTTCGGTTTGCCCACCCCTGGGGTAGACCGTAGGAAGGACTTCCTGAAAGAGCTCAATTCCCCAAAGCAGCGACCCCTGTGGCTGCATGAAGCCCGAGGATGGTGGATGGGAAAAGAAGCAGCCCCTGCCTCGGCTCGCTAACTCCACAGCGCGCACCGCCCCCGCCAGCCAAGCCTGACAAAGGGGCCTGTCTGCGCTGAGCGATGGGCCCCAGTTAATTCCTTACCGATCCCGTCCCCTTCCGCTGCCGCCTTTGGACCCGAACAATTAGCTGCGGCCTGATTAATGGGGGAAAATTATCGGCCCCGCGAGACCCCCTCCCCCCTGCAGAGGGAGCTGAGGGAGGCAGACTCAGGGGAGGCAGAGCTCTGGGCCTGGTGGGGGAAGTGCTGGGACCTGCTCAGACCTCCCTAGCCAACCTCTGGTGGAAGGGAGACCTCAAGGAAAGGGCAGGGAGGGTACAGTGGGACCAGAATGACTAGGTCTCCCTAAGGAGCAAAGGGGATCTGGGGCCCCACTGAGGATCCCTGCTTAAGAGTGGCCCTGTAAGGGGTGCCGGGTCTGGGGTAAGGGCCTGAGGGACTTCGGCCAGCTTCTGCACTGAAGGGGGGGGGGGGCAATGCAGCCAGTTAATTAGCAGCTTATCAGGCCTCGCTCTGAGTGAGTTAATTAGCTTTGTAGAGAGAGATAATGAGTCAGTCTTTGGACACATGAATCTGGGGAGAAGCCTAAGTGATGGACTGCCACCCATCCTGATCCCCTTGCTGGCCCCTTCTTGCATTCTCTTTTAGCTCCAAGATTTCTGGGGAGGATTTTCTCTTCCTCCATAGCCCCAACTCACACGGTCCTCAGCCTACCCCTTGAGAAGTCCTTCCTTCAGTCTAATCCCAGCCCTTCTTGTTGTAGAGCACATTGGATGCCCCCTGCCTGGTGCAAGGGGAAACTGAGGCGTGACAAGGCTGGAAGAAGGGTCAGCAAAAGAGGACCAAAGGCCTTCCCAGTCCTCTATTCTTGGGAAGCTCCCCCCACCCACCAAGCCAGCTCCTACCAGTTCCCCATCCTACCCTCCCAATTGATCCCACACTCATTAACCTGCCAGTGGGCTGGCCACTAATTAATTGCTGGGTAGAGGAGAAGGGCAGGGTCAGAGGTTAAAGATATTATTGAGGGCCCAGAGGATAGGTGCTGCCAAGCTCAGGCCTCTGCAGAGAAGACCCAACCTGGTAAGCGGGGGGCCCTTCCCTTCATCACCCCACTCACCCCTCTTCTGCATGAAGCTAAACAGGTCATCCAGAAATTCCTTCCTCTTGGGGTCTGCATCGAGCTCGTACAGCTGGGGAAGGACTGAGGTCATTTTTCAGCTTCACTCACCCCCCACCCCCAGGGGCCCCAACTCAGGTTGTACCCCAAATAAGGGTCCCCAGCTGAAGGGGTAGCTTGGGTCTAAAATGTGGACTCCCAGACATTAAACTCTCTCCCCCTGGGTGTAGGTAGGGGCACTTTTTCTAGTACACAGAGACCCTCTACTGGCTGGTGGTGTCCTGTGTAGGTCAAACCACTCATCTCGGGTGTGGGGAAGAGAGGAAGCCATGGAGGCGCACGGAGTGCAGGGAGGAAGCCAGGCTGGAGCTGCGTTCCACACTGAGGGGACTGACAGGCTTATCTGAGGCACTCGTTCACTCTCCTTCATTCCTGCAAAGGCTTCTGGCTGTTTATTGGCATCTTTGCAAGTCGGGGCTGGGGATGATGACTCTAACCCATCCCTCAGATAGGATATATGCTCAGAAGCTTCTGGATTGAAACCTGGGGCTCCTCAGCCCTCCTTCTGGTCTGATCTCCTTCCAGGGACAGTGACCTGCCCACTATAGAAGCTGCCACAGAGGCAATAGCTCTGCATCACCCAGGACCTGTGGGGTCAGGACTTGGAGGGCCCAGGGGGTAATCCCACACATTCCCAGTCATCTGGAGCCCCACCTCCAGTATCATCTCCCAAATACCCCCCAGGAGGGACAATCCCTAGAGTAACAGTCATTTACCCAAGAGTAAGAGTCCCTGAGTAATACCTACAGGTAACACTCCATCCCCCAATAAGAACTCTCAGTAAAAAACAAACAAATAAAAAAACCCTCATAACACACCCCAGAGATTCCCCTTTACAGCTATGCTCCCACAAGAACTGAGCCCTGTGTCTTAGATGGACACCTACAAATAGCACACACACTCTGCAAGTAATAATTCCCAGACTTATACCTAGGAGAAAGAGTCGGTACAGCCATTTCTCCAGAGTATTACAGTCCTGAGTAACAATCCTTTTTACACTAATGCCACAGAGTACTAACCGCAGATGAGCAGTTCTGGAACACACCCAAAACCAACACCCCACAGGTACCCCTGTGCCTCCTACAGTCACAGCAGAACACTTTCACAGTGACGGCTTAGTGCAGTGCTTTAGAATAACGCCCAGATGAGTTCTGCAGGGAGGAATAACTCAAATATGGCCCAGTGAGTAAGGTCTAGTCCTTTCCAGCTGCACAGGGCTCGTTAGTCACACTGCAGCTGCAGTGGCCGTCACAGGCAGGGAACTGTCACCCAGAGAACTCAGGCCAGGGAGAGGATGTGAATGAGGGAAACATGACAGGAAGAAACGAGGGGGATGTGAGCTTGCCAAAGGGGTGGCAACCTCCATTCAGCTTCCAAAGACAGAAGGCAGCCCAGGACACCCCCTCTGGTCGCTGAGATATGACCTTGTGACTTGACGTGTGAGAAGGTAGGGTAGGATGGTGCTGGCCTTGCAATCCTTAGTGGTCAGATTCCCTCTTCCTCAAAAGAATTCTTAAACGCTCCTACACCCGTCCCACTTTCCCTTCCAGCCTCACCAAGAGCCTCCAATCTGTCAGCCTCCATGTTTCTGGGTGTCTTCAGCACCTCTTCATGTTTGCCTACGTATGTCTTCCTGTGTCTCGTGACCACCTATCCTTCATTCTCTCTCTAGGTCTCTGCGTCTGTCTTTCCATTTTGTAGAGGGCTGGCTACTAATCACCAGGATCTGTTTTTGCCCAGAGACGAGGAAGACCAGAGGGCCTGACATTGAGGGCGTCCTACCTGCTTGAACTGTTCCTCATAGGTCCACTCATGGGGCTGAGGTCCAGGGGGCTGGCTGGAAGGTGAGCCGGGGCCCCGAGTTCCTGGACGACTCTCCTCAGCTGCCTCTTCCTCGGCCCCGGCTTCCTCCCCCTCCTCGTCCTCTTCAGTATCCTCCTCTTCCTCAGCCCCAACCTCCACCAGGGCCCTCTCTGGGGCCTGCAGAATCCGGAGGCCAGGCAAGGGAGGCCGTGGTGGCGATGGGCGTGGAGGGGCCAGTGGGCCCACCCCCTGGGCCAGTCGGGCTGCCTGCTGCCTTTGCAGGGCTTCCATGACAGCTTCCAGGCGCAGTCCGCCCGCTGGTGGGGTGGCTGGCACCAGGCGGGGCCCCGAGGAAAGGGCCGTCTGTGGGGGAGGGCATCATGGGGGTTGGGCCCCGCTGCTCCCACAACCCCCAACGCAGGGGGAGGTGGTCATGGATTCTGGGAAGTGCAGGGGGTCATACGGAGAGAGGAAGGTAGCTTTTCCAGAGATTGATGGAGAGGTAGAAAAGAGAGAGCCAAAGAGACAGAAATGGGCATTGACGGAGGACAGGTAGAGACCAAGCAGATCAAAGAGGGTGACAAGGACCAAGAAGCAGAGAAGGGGGAGAGTGTGAGGGCTCGATCTGACGGGGTGCGGGGGTGGCACGGAGGGGGGTATGACAAGGAACTGTGGAGACAGAAATGTTGATGGGACAGAGAGACGAGGAGACGTGGAGGTGGGGAGAGACAGACACTGAGAGGGACCGAGACGGAGGGAGGCAGAGACATCAGGCAGAGACGAGAATGGAGAGACGGGATGGGGAGAGGTGAGACTGAGAGATACTGGGGACAGAGGCAGGGAAGGGAAGGGGGGGAGGAGCAGGAGATAAACATCAAAAACCCGAGGGGCAGGCAGTCCAAAGAGAGACACGGACAGAGAGACGGGGACCGTGAGAGAAGGAGAAAGACCGACGCGGCGGGAGATGGAAGAGAGATTAGAAAGAGACAGGATGAGACAGTAGATAGAGGGGGAGAGGCAGAGACACTGGGAAAACAGTCGGAGAGACGCGACAGGGACGCAGAGAACTAGAACCAAGGATGCGCAGGAACAGGAGGCGGCGGGAGCGGAGCCCAGGACGGGCGCCGAACCAGGTGGGCAGGGGCGGCGGGGTCTCGACGCCCACTCTCTGGCTGCGGGTACCCCGCGGCCTCACTCACCAGCCTGGCGCGGCCCGCTGCCCCCGGCGTCTCCACGGCTCTCCCTATGCAATGCCCGCCTCTCGGGCGGCCCCAGCCTCCGCTCGGTTCCCTGCGCGGGATTCCCCGCTGTGCGCTCCCGTCGTCTGCGCTCCTCTGGCCGCGGTGCGCTCACGCCGCTTTGCTAGCCGCGGCCGCGGGGGCGGGACCCGGGAGGGGCAGGGCGGGCGGGGACGCGGGGAGAAAGGCCCCGGTGGGCTCTGTCGCTTCCAGCCCCCCAACAGGTGTCTCCCACCCTCCACACAGCCAGATTCGTGGGGAGGGGGCGCTGGAGAGCTGCGGGGAGTGGTGCAAAGGGAGTGAGGAGTCTACGTACGGCTACTGGACTCAGGACGGGGGCCCCGCCCAACCTCACAAGTCGTGTGTCCCAAGCCCACACGCAGTGAGTGCCCGCATTCACACACAAACAGCTGTGTTCACACACCAACATACCCTGTCACAAGTTCAGGCACACGGCTGCCCTGTTTCACTTATGAGTTTTACGGCCACTACAGCACCAATGTCCTGTGATCACGAGGTGAATCACTCTGTAAGATGCTGGGGTGAGTGTGGACAGACTGAAACTTCTCGCCAGGCCCTATCCGGGTGTCGTCCCCAAGTGCATGCACGCTGCAGTCTGCACACTAGGTGCATGTGGTGGTGGACTCACACTTGTGTACACAGAGAGGTGTCTGCACTGACTCCACACCTGCAGCAGGGTACACGTGCTACACGGAGATACACAACCGCAAAGTTTTTTTTTTTTAAGATTTAATTTATTTATTGTTAGAAAGAAGGAAGGGAGAGAGGGAGAAAAAAGTCAATGTGTGGTTTCCTCTCGCGCGCCCCCTACTGGGGGATCAGGCCCTCAACCCAGTCCTGACTGGGAATCCAACCAGCGACCTTTGGTCCACAAGTTAACATTCAATTCACTGAGCCACACCAGCCAGGGCCTACACAGTTTTTTTGTTTTTTTAAAAAAGCTCTCTTGACGTTTTATTATGGACATATTCAAACATATGCACAAAAAGAGTGAAGATATAATGAATCTCTGGTACTCATCATGCATTTCAACAATGATGAGCATTTTGCCCATCTTCACACACATCCTCCACACATGTGTGCATGACTCCCTGGTCTGTATCTCCACCGCTTCAGCCAACTGATTCAGGACTACCCCACCCCCAGTTATACTCCGGATGCTGTTCCTTATTTGGGGGTCCTGAAGGCAGGTCACAGTTCTGAGTATCCTGGACCCACCTCCTCTCTCGCACCCTCATACACCCCCCAGTTTCTTCCTGAATGAGGGAAAATCAACCTGCCAAAGCAGGAGGACCACCTGAAGGTGAGAACATGTGTCTGTAGGGGTAACACCTGGCATGGGTGTGGAACTGCTGTGTCAAACCCAATCCAGCACTGGAAATCATCCCCTGACCTTACACCCAGTGAGGCAAGATTCCTCCCAGGTAGGACATTTCCCCAGGAGGTAGAAATTCAGGTGTGACTTTCGCTTCCTTTCTCTCGCCCCCCACCCCCCAATCAGTCTCCTCCTCTCAGACCCAGCTTACCCTGGCCTGAGCCAAGCTCTTCTCACCGGGATGACACGCCCCCACCTGCTCTCCTTGTCTCTAGTCTCCACCGTTGTCCCCAGCCCAGCTCCCACTGGGGCACTAAGTCTTTGTTCCCTTTGGCCCATCCTTGGCCACGCTGAGGCTCAGTCCTGCTCGCACCTCTGGCTCACTCCAGTGCCCTCCCACTCACATTTCAGACCTAAGCGTCAGACTTCTTTCCCACTTGTTGATCCAACTACCTTCAGTACTGATGTCTCCTCCCGCATAGCATATATATAGCTTTGTGTGGTAAGTTCTGGGGCAGTCAAGCCCCTTCCAATCCCCAGCCCTCTCTAAGGCTGGGACCACAGAGGGGAGAATCATTAAATGTGCAGAGGCAGACAAACATGTCCTGAGGGTTCTCCTGGGGGACTACAGAGCAGGGGGTGGAGACCTGTGGAACTCCTGCACCCAGCTGGCTTCTCTTTCCCCACACAGCTTCCCCTGGCTGCTTGAAGAGCAGGTATCCAGAGAGACCGGCGGGAAGTAAGATTCCTTTTGGAAAAGGTGGAAACTGGTTTGGGGAATTCCAGTTCTGAGAGTTCAGAGATCGCTTTGCAGGAGGTTGAGGGGGAGGAGAGGGGCAAGGGACTGGGCAGATACTCCCAAAGGAAAAAGAACCCATCAAGCATAGTAAACCCTCCTTTGGGGTCTGAGCCACGAGTGGTATGACTGGAAAGGGCTGAGGGGAAGGAATAAGCCTAACTGGGACCTGGTTTGTCTCTGTTCATCTGCGACGAGACCAGGCTGTCTCTCACACCCACACATAACCCCCATCTGATCCCACACCTCACAGAGACAATGACAGAGACAGACAGACCGAGACCTCCGCTATCAACTAGGATGTCCTTTGTGCTAGGCCCTGCTGGACACAGGAGTAAACAAAGTCCCTGTCATCAGGGTATAATTTCAGTGGTGAATGTTGTCAGATGGCCATAAGTGAAACAAAGAGACATAAATCTGGGTTGGGAAGTGCGCATTAGTGATCTGTTACTGTGTAACAAATCACATGAAAAAGTAGCAGCTTAAAACAACATTTAGTTTCTTACAATTCTGTTGATCAGGAATCTGAGAGTGGCCGAGCAGGATGGTTCTGGCTCACTGTCTCTCATGAGGTTGCAGGAAAAACTTCAGCTAAAGCCGTAGTCGTCTCACCTGGGATGGGAGGGTCCATCTCCAGGACGGCTCACTCACACGGCTGTTGGCACGAGGCCGTGCTCCTCGGGTGGACCTCATGCCCGCGTGTCCTCCCACCACGGCAGCTGGCAGCTGGCTTGCCCGGGAAAGTGACCGCACTAAAGAGGCAGCAATGCTTTTTATGGCTTAGGCTTGGAAGTCGCACTGTCACTTCTGCCATATATTATTTGTTAAAAATATATCACTAAACCCTGGCTAGGTGGCTCAGTTGGTTGGAGTGTCGTCTCTTACACCGAAAGGTTGCAGGTTCGATTCCCAGTCAGGGCACATACCTAGGTTTTGTGTTCTGTCCCCAGTTGGGGTGCGTATGGAAGGCAACTAGTCAATGTTTCTCTCACATTGATGTTTCTGTCTCTCTAAAATCAACTGACATGCTATTGGGTGATTATATATACATATATATATATATTCTCCAGCTCATATTCAAGGGTAAAAGAATTAGGCTTCATTTCTTAAAATATCAAAAACTTTATGGAGGTATTTTAAAGCTACTGCAGAAGGGCTCCTAATAGACAAATGTTAAGGCGAGGACTCTGAGCAGGAATTGAAGTGGGCAGGGAGTGGGGAGAGCCATGGAGATACCTAGAGAACATGAAGGGCAGGAGAGCAGATACAAATATCTTAAGGTGGAAGTTTGCTTGACACGTCAGAAAAAAAGCAGGGCGGCCACTGGGCTAGAACAGGGTGGCTGAGGCGAATGGTTGGATATTTGGTCAGAGGTAACATGGGCCCCGGAGTGGGTTCCTGGAGGCAAAGACCGAAGGATACAGGAAGCTGATAGAAATGCCCAGAGTGAAAAGCTGAGTCTGGCTGTTGTGTGCTGACCTTTCCATATTGCGGGCAAGGATGAGGACCAATTAAGAGGCCACCGCAGTAATCTAGGCAAGAGATGATGATGACTTGAACCAGTGTGGTGGCAGTGGAAATGACAAGAAGTAATTAGAGTCTGGATATGTTTCAAAGATAAAACTGATAGGTTCTGTTGATGCTTTGCACATGGGATGTGAGAGAGTAAGAGCCATCCAAGGCGACTCCACGGCTCTTGGTCTGGGCATGTGGGTGAGTGCAGGTATCCTTAACTGAGACAGTGAAATATGGCAGGATACAGGATCAGGAGGAACCAGTTTATGTTGGACATTTCAAGTTTGAGATGCCAATTAGACAACCAGGTGGGGCTGTCGGCAGTTAAATATATGAAGCTGATATCTGGAGCTTCGTATCTGGCTGCGACAAGAAATTAGGAGTCAACACGTACAGATGGTCCTTAACATCCATCCATATTGTTGCAAATGGCAGGCTTTTCTTTTTTATGGCTGAATAATATTCTGTCATATTTATTCAGCCTTGAAGGCATTATGCTAAGTGAAATAAGTCAGAAAGGCACCCTGGCTGGTGTGGTTCAGTGGACTGAGCACTGGGCCTCTGAACCAAAGGGTCACCGGTTCAATTCCCAGTCAGGGCACGTGCCCAGGTTGTGGGCTGGGTTCCCCTTTAGGGGTGTATGAGAGGCAACCACATTGATGTTTCTCTCCCTTTCTCTAAAAATAAATAAAGTTTTTTTTTTAAGAGTGACTGTATCAAATGAAAGTGGAGAAGAAATAATTCTGGGCTTAGCAACAGAGATGGGGAGGACCCCGGGAGCGGAGTCCTATGTGGACGGGAGGGATGACAGGAAAGCTGGGGCATCCCTGACAGATGTGTGGTGAGCCTAGAGGCAGAGCTGGGTTACAGGGGGGAGAAGTCCTTGGAGGCCGATTTTGCAACCCATGATCCATGGAGGGGAAGTGCCAGCCAGGGCCTGTCATGGCCAACACGGCGGTGGTGGTGTCAGGACAGCCATCTTGCCTGGGTATCATACTCATTCAGAGCCACAAATTCAAACCTCTGATGTTGCTTACAAATGGTTACACCTGTTGTCTCCTGCATCTTTGTTCATCAGAATGTCAACTTTTTAGAATATATCATTTTTATAACGATGTTCACCTTTAATACACCAAAAGTCCTTAGAGTGGTCTGGGCCTTCCTCAACATCAGAGCAGGGGTAGGAGGAGGAGGATGAGACTAGTGATGTGACCAGAGCACAAAACTGCAGAGGGCAAGTGCAGGGTCCCTGGAGTGCACCTTAGGCACCCCCCATGCCTCATACTAGTTCCAGCCCCGTCGACCTCAGACATCACCAGATAGTGTGCCTGCTCCCCACCCCCAGGATCCTCCACAGAAGGATGGGGTCCTAGAGAAAAACTCCTGTCTGGGTCAGGGTGGATAACATACCCTAAAACCCAGAAAAATGCAGATGGAGACTGACTAGTCCTCTTCCAGTTCAAATGTGGGTGCGCACTGCCATCTTGTGGCCATCCATGGTAGGACTCCCAGGGCTTTTTCCAGATGCATAGTAGCACTAGAGGCAAGATAGAGATGTACACCTCACCCAGCCCTGAATTTCTTAAACTGACACATTCACAACTTGTGAAGACCTTATTAAACACACTGATCTCAAGGGCTCAATCCGGAATTGAACTCTGGGGACTAGGCACAGTAATCTGTATGGTCAATGAACCTCCTAGGTGATCCTTGGGCACACTGAAGTGTATAGCTACTGTCTTATAAAAATCACACAGCGAGAGAGAGAGGCCTTCCTGGGGCCTCCCATGAGTTAGCACGTTTTCCTACTGCTCAGATACACAAATGAATGGAACTGTTCAACAGGTCTTTATTAACAGAGAGACAGAGGGACAGAAAATGCAGGCAGTGTCTGAAAGCTATAATGGGTGTGTGCGCACAAAAATGGCCTTCTCTCTAGGCCAGGAATGGCCCCTTGGATCTAAGCCCACCTCCACAGGCCCCCTCCTCAGAGGTGGATCCTAGGCTGAGGCCAGCCTCCCCTCCATACCTGTGAGAGAAAAATGGGGGGGCTTTCAGGATAGGAGGGACCCTGAACTCAGCATTCTCCATTCTTCTGGTTTCCCAGTTGAGAGGGTAGGGGATAGGCCATGAGGGCACTTGCATAGCAGCGAACAGAACAGGGGTAAGGCGTATGGTGAGGACAGAGAAAGGGCATCATAGCTGCAGGTGAAGGGGGCCTCCAAAGGCAACTCTTCTTCCTCACCCCTTCCCCAATTGCTGCTGGGTCAGGGGGGTCGGACCCAGGCAAAGTGTAATGCCCACACCATCCCTAACTCCAGAGCCCTAACAGGGGGAAGGGAAGCTCTGGAAAGGCCTGAGTTAATGAGTCAAGCTTATATGTTTGAACATGACTGGACCTCTTGATACACATGGGGCTCCCTCTTTGGACAGGTGTGAATGCAAGATGTTGCCACACACACGGGATCCAGTATCTGAATGTGTGCCCCTTATGTTCCCATACATCTGTGTTTGGTGGTATAAGCATGTACATCCCTGCTTGTACAGCAGGAACTCAGTATCTGCATGTTGTATGTCCATCTTTTCACATGGGCTCCAGCAAATGGATACGCGGGCCTGCCCGCTGCTGTCCACCCACAGGTCCTCCTCCAGGCCTGGTGGGTCAGGGGTCCTGGCCGAAGAGGTAGGTAGTGAGCTCAAGCCGGAGGGCCCTGGCATAGGCTCGAAGAGTGTAGAAGAGGGTGAGGAAGTCCTGGGTGCTGAAGACTGTGTCAGCCAGTGCGAAGGCCAGGGTAGACGGGATGACACCCCGGCCGTACTCCACCATCCATGTGTTTGGCCCCCACTCCACAGCTGTTGCCTCACCAGGCCCATGCACCACTGTCTCCCCTGGGGGACAGGAAGCACCCACGTGAGGAGCCTAGCCCTGCCCTTCCACTGCTGCAACCTCCCTGGCCCATGGGCTGTCTAGTGTGCGACTCCTAAATTTTCCTCTGTGGCATCACCTGGCTCATGTCCTCTGTTGGGGGAAAGCCAAAGAGGAGCATCTCACCTGACCATGGGCTACTGTACAGAAGTCATGGAAATTTACATTCCCAAGCCTCAGTCAAGCAGAAATTTGGCTAAATTATGAGTCAAGCCTCATATCCCCTTAGATACAAAGGGGCAGTGATAAGACTTCTGAGGCTTTCTGAGTGATTTCCATTCAGTTACAATGCTTGCCTGCTTGTGACACTCAACCTCAAACTTAGTTTGAAGTCCGAACCTCTGCTTTTTATGTAAAATATTTCAATATTTAAAAAAGGAAGACAATGGTCTGCCTTGCCTGTAGGGATATGACAGCATTTCTGATTACCCAACTGTCTCCCCCCAAAATTGCTGGAATATGGATGAATAAAAAACCACCTGTAGCTCACCTGGGGAATAGGGGAAACGGGGGGGGGGGCCCTCACGCACCCGGTTCACATGCCATGGCTCTCTCCCCCAACCATGGGCATCCCAAAACGAAGGAACTCACTTCTCTGACAGAACCTCCCTACCCACCTGGGTAGAAGACCTCACTTTTGGTAGTGCCCTCTCTCCACTGGTGGAAGGTGCCAGAGATTATGGTGTCGGAGATCTCAGCCCAATAGCGTCCTGCGGGACAATCAGATGGACACCGAGTATCAGGGTATCGGCGTCATCACATGGCCTGGCCAAACAGAAACGACGGCATGAGCCCTTGAACAGCCCCAGCCTCCCAGTCCGGCCCGCCGCCAGCACTGACCAGAGTGGCCGCTAGAGCCGAGGGCGGTGCCGAAGAGCAGCACGTACTCGGACAGGGAGGCGTGCAGAAGGCACATGGCGCCCATCCAGCCGCCCGCGTTCACGAACACCCACTGCAGTTCCTCGTCGGGCAGCACGTGGCCTGGGTGCAGCCGCCGCAGCTCCACGATGAGCCGAGAGAAGGCAAGCTCGTGGTCCAGCCCTGGCAGGGGCAGAGGAGTATTAGGGCCAGCACCGGTCCAGGACTAGGGAATGGAGCCCCAGAATCCCCCAGCTCGGCCCGGGTCTGCCCAGCCCTCCATCCGTTCGTTCGTTCGCTCACCCGCGTACTGCCGCGCCAGCTGCGCGATCTCTTCGTGCTGGAAGACGAAGCTCTGCGTGCCCAGCCAGAGCCAGACCATCTGGGCCAGTATAGCTGCGGCAGCCAGAAGCAGCGCGGCCCACGCCCACCGCCGACCCACGGCCCACTGCATCCCCGCGGGCAGCCCAGCAAAACGCTCGCTGAAAGGAGATGAGGCCTGTGGCTACGCTTCTCACTGCCACCTAACCAGCAGGGCGCCTTTCGGGGCTCGTTACCCCGCCAACGCCGTGGGACGGCTCTCCCAGGCCAATTGGACTTGTCCGGGCATCCAGGCACCGCCCCCCCGGGTTGTACCATTTCCTTCCTGGAAGCAGGGAGCTGGATGGGAGTGAGGCGGCGCAGTGCGCGCAAGGTAAATGAGGTGGAGCCAAGCCCTCCTGGCTACTCAGATTAGGACCCCCTTGTGAGGTCGCTCCCAGCCCCAGCCCACTTGGGGCTAGGTGGTGGCGGTGAGTCCCAGAAAGAACGCTCCCCTGGGCGCAGTGACTAGTGAAACAGGCGAGCCCGGAAGCAGAGCCTTCCTGGACTTGTGATGCTTAAGGCCCGCCTTTGCCAGCACAGAAGATGGAAGCGGGGGTTCTTCAGAGTGGGAGTGTTAGGGAAGGCTTTTTGGAGGCGGTGAGCAGTGTCTTTTAGAGAGATGGGAAGGGCATTCCAACCTTGAGACTTACTCGAAGGGCAAAGCCACCGAGGAGAAACAGAATAGGCCTACAATTCGTTCTTCCTCCTGAAGCACAAAATATGATAATAAGCCCCTGTAAACCAAATGAGGGTCGTGGTGGGGGACTGATAAAGGAAGAGAAACAAAAGAGAGAAAAGAAGCAGCATACTGCAGTGGAGCTGGACCGACTGGATTAAAAGTCTGGCTCCTGCCACTTACCAGTTGTGTGATCTTGGGCAAGTTATTTAAAACCTTTGTGACTCAGTTTTCCCATCCATAAAATGGGATGAATAAAAAGCACCTGCTTCATAGTACATATCTTCATTATCTTGCAGATTAAATGAGTTAATGTTTGTAAAGCAGTTAGTACCTGACATGTGGTGTCATACATGTTAGTTACATAAACAAAACACAAAGGAGAAAGAATTGGAAGAGCATGGCTTCACACATGAGAGTAATGAAATAAAGGGTCAACAGTCAAATATAATCGAGTGGTCCATCCAATAAAATGATGAGAACTGGTCACTAGCTTCCTCGGTAGGGGCATGCAGCCAGATTGCATTCCACAGTCTACTCTGTAACTGGATAAGGCCAAGTGATTGCATTCTGGCTAACGAAGTATAGGCAGAAATGATGTGCACCACTGCCACGTCTGGCTCCTAAGATCTTCTGTGACATTTTTTACTTTCTCTTCCATGATCTATTGTCACAAGTAGTTAGTGGAGAATTCTGAATGCTGCATGGGATAGAGCTCCCCCTCTCTCCCACAGAGGACTGTGGTGCTAAACCACTGAGTTTGGGAGTTGTTACAGCAACTAAGATTATTCACCCTAACACAGGGCAAAAGACATATTCCTGTGTACTGTGCAGGTAATTATAGAGGCTGGAAAGTTGGACCATTTTTTGAAAAACTTGGCCATTCAGGGAAACAAAGAAAGGATTACCTAGAGGAGAATTCAGAATTGAGGGGACTTTTTTTTTTGTCTCTGAACCCGGTGACACCCCTGAGCTGATCATTCTCTAAGAACCCCGAATAACAGGAAATAGCCCCAAAATCTGACCTCTGCCCCTCTGGTCCAGGAAGAGCCCTCTGGGACCATGCAGGCCTGTAGCTCCCCTATTTGGTCTTTTAGAAAGTTTCTTCAGCACACACTATTTGAAAACAAACAAAACCCAAATTGTCCTTTGGCCTTGAAAGGGTCCAGAACAGGACTTCCTCATATGCCACTCTGGCCCATGAATTATTTTGAACGGAAGGTAATCGAGACCCTGCGGGCTCACAAAAAAATTTTGACCTCTTTCCTGAAAGAATTTAAATTCAGGGCCTTGCCTGAATTTAAATAAGACTTATTACCAGAAATAACTTGTCATGACCTAGCTATATGGCAGAGCAGGCTTCTAATTCCTGAACATCTGAACTGATCCTGCAAATGACCTTCCTCCCCTCTCAAGTCCCAAGGTAACTTACCTCACCCTTAGTTCAAAATGCCATATATACCTCATTGTAACAGTCTCTGAATCTCTCCTGTGTATGGAGTTGTCCGACTCTCTCATGTCATATGTCCTCATGTAATTAAATTCGGTTATTTTCTCTTGTTAATGTCTCTTGTTGACTTGCTTATTAGATCAACCTGAAGAACCTAGAAGGGCAGAGGGAAATTTCTTCCTCCCCACAGCCTTAAGAGGGTGTAAGGACGGGGATTAAGGTATTGGGGTCACAGACACCTTCCCCAGATATTGGAGAAGAAATCATACTTCTGGGATCTTTGAGGGAAAGGGCTGGGTAGGCCCTGTCTCAGCCATTCTCTTCTTCCCCCAGAAAGTGACCTTGGGGAGACACAGGAGAAAGAGAGTTTTGGTGACAGTCTGGAAGAGATGTTTGTAGAGGGGTCAGGAGTTAGTTGGCTTGATCCTGGGAATGACACTGAAGCACTGATATTCTTGAGAAAATGGGGCTGCCTCCCAAATCCAGCCGCTGTAACAACACAGACAGCTGAGAGAGCAGAACAGAGACCTCTGTCCTCTTCTCCCCTCACCATGAGCCACCAGCGAACTGGTAACCCCCGCCCCTATTTCTCAGTTCCCTGCTCCCTGCCCCCTACCTGGTGGCCTCTTCAGATTCCAGTCACAGAGCTCTAGGGCAGAGATTAAGTAAATGACCAATGACCCAGTTTAAAAAAAAACACAACTGACTAGAGACAGGGAGGGAAGGAGAGAGAGAGAGAGAGAGAGAGAGAGAGAGAGAGATTTGTTGTCCCACTCATTTATGCATCCATTGGCTGATTCTTGTGCCCTGACTGGGGATAGAACCTGCAGCTTTAATGTACTGGGATGATGCTCTAACTGGGCTACCTGGTCAGGGCTGGTTTTTGCATCTGTGCTGCAGAACACCTGGCTTGGCCTGGTCTGGCTTGGGGGAAGGGGCCTCCCTGCTACTTCCCAGCTTCTAGTTCAACGTTTTTCTTGAGTGTCATCGAACTCTCAGAGGCATTTCAAAGCAATGGAAAGAGACTGGAAATTTGAGTTCAAATCCTAGCTTGGCCACTTGTCCTCTATTTCCTTTGGGTGAACTTGAGGCGTCTGCTTCCCACTGTAAATGGGGAAGATGTTCAGACGCAATATTCAGATGTCTTTAAAAGTGCCAGGGAGGGATTAATTTGAACTTTATTTTAATATTAGCCAATTGGTTTGATCCAAGGAAATGTTGGAGAAGGGAAGGGGGTGTGCAAACACCCTTGATTCCACAAGATGGTGCCTAGGGCTACTGAGGGTCCTGTCTTTCCCACGTTCTCAGAGTTCTTACAGCCCTTACTCCACCCACTCCTTGTGCTTTTGGTGTGTGCATGTGAGAGACAGAGAGAGAGAGAAATATGGTTATGTCAACGAAAGACTGTCCAAACCTTTAGAAAAGGTTTTATTATTATTATTATTATTATTATTATTATTATTATTTTATTTAGAAAAGTTTTATAAGAGTTTATTTGAGCCAAATTTTGAGGACATGCCTGGAAGCAAGATCTCAGTGGATTGAGACATGCTCCAGAGAATAGCAGTTTTGCGGTTCCTTTTGTGTATTTAGAATCCAAGGAGGAAATGTAAGGGAGCTACATTAACTCCACTGGTGGTAGCTTAAGGAGGCAGGAGAAAGCCAAGTGGGGAAGTCTCTAAGACTGGATAAAAAGCAAAATGGAGAAACACATACTTCTTTTACATTGGTGAGCACAGAATAGTTAATAATTAACATTTGCAGTACATAGAGATGGCATTCTGGGAACAAGATAGCAATAAAGGGTTTGTTGGTCTTGTGCTCCAGCGCCCGTGGTTGTATTTTCAAGGGGTTTAGAAAACAAAATTACCCCGACATTTCGAAGGTTTGTTATCCTAGATGCATAAGGACAATGGACAGAGCTCACTTAAGGTGAAGATCGACCTTTAGCTATTTTTAGGTCTGGGACATGACTGCCCCCCATGAACCGTCTAGTTAGGAACTAATAATCAGACCATCCTGTGTAGTCACTTTCAGTCACTGCCATGTGCCATCTACCCCTGCCCCCAAACATGAACTTGCCAGGTTTATTACCTGGCTTCCTTTTCATTCACAGTTAGTTAGCCCTTATTTTCCCAAACCTGTTTCTGCTGATTGGTGATAGTTACAGTGTATTACCCACCCACTCCTCCAAGTAATACTTGAGGCCGGGGTTCAGCTGAAGCAGATCACCCCTTGCCCCCAAGTTTGCCTCTCTTCCACCATCGCCACTGAGCAGGTATGTGAGGGGACTGTGGTCCAGGGTTATAGTCTTACTTTGCCCCCAAAATGTGAGCTCCAGGACAGCAGAGGCCATTACTGACTTGTGCATACAGGGGTGTCCCTTTGCATCGCACGGAGCCTAGGTGCCTGGCACAGGGCAGAAAATCAGTAAATAGTTTCTGAATAAATGACCAAGCAAATGACAGCAGTAATCTTTTTGAAAGTATGTTTTATTCATTACACTGTTAGAGTTGTCCCAATTTTTCTCCCTTTTATTCCCCCTCCACCCTGCACCTCCTCACACTCCAGCATGCCCTCTGCCTTAGTTCATGTCCATGGGTTGTACATATAAGTTCTTTGGCTTCTCCGTTTCCTGTACTATTCTTAACCTCCCCCTGTCTATTTTATGCCTACCAATTATGCTTCTTACTCCCTGTACCTTTCTCCGTCATTCTCGCCCCCTCTACTGATAACCCTCCATGAGATCTCCATTTCTGTGATTCTGTTCCTGTTCTAGCTGTTTGCTTTGCTTTATTTTTTAGGTTCAATTGTTGATAGTTGTGAGTTTGTTGTCATTTTACTGTTCATAGTTTTTGATATTTCTTAGATAAACCCCTTTATATAATACATTTCATATAATAAGGGCTTGGTGATGATGAACTCCTTTAATTTGAACTTATCTGGCAAGCACTTTATCTGCCTTTCCATTCTAAATAATAGCTTTCTGGCTAGAGTAATCTTGGATGTAGGTCCTTGCTTTTTAAGACTTCAAATACTCCTTTCTAGCCCCTCCTTGACTTTAAGGTTTTTGAAAGCAGTAAAGAAGTCTTGCAACCTTTCTGGACCCGAGGAATCTGCTG